TCAAGGGGGAGTGGGAAATGTAGTTTTTAGCAAGTGCAGGGAGGCTCTTTAGAGGGTGGAAAGGAGCTCCGATTGGGCCAGTTGAGAGGATATGTCTGCCACCAATGCATTCATTTTAAAACACCCAGGGGTTATTATTCCAGAATATTTAATAGGTATAATTAATTATAATACTGTAATATAATTAGGTATAATAGCCTACTTGATATTTGTGTATTTACATGTAGAACGTTAATATACTCAGTATCCTAAAAATGCAGGTCGTTTGTCTAAACTCAGTTTCTGAATTTTTTTTTGTTTGTTACTTTTTTTCATTTTGACAACAGCGATTGACTTGTAATTTTTTAGTTCGGTTTAATCTCCTCTGGGGAGTCCTGCCCCGGACAGTTGGTCTGTTTATGTAATTTGTTCATACACATTTCTTAAACATTTACTAGGAGCCCGACACCAGGCTAGATTTAGCACTTTGGGCAGAGGACAGTCAGGAGTTCTTCCATTGAGAGTCCTCACTGGAGAGGGAATAAGTCAAGGTCATGGTAAGAATAGTACAAGGAAGGTTATGATCAGTACCTAGAGAGCGAGCTAAGCAGACTCAGAGCAGGGAGATGATTCTGACTTGACTGAGAAACAAGGGGGGGCTTCATGCTGAGTGACAGTCATCAGGTGATTCTCCGTTGGAGGCAGCACCATGTCCGTGAGGGGTGTTTGCAAGTGTGGTGGCATGTGTTACTGTTGTTGTTGTCTCAGTGCTGAGGCCAGACCACCATGGCCATGTAGTACTCAGGGCTGCAGATGCTAGATGTCCTGTAATACATGAGACACTGCAGAAATAACTGCCTTTCTTCAAAGAGCAATCTTGTTCCTATTGGGAACTACCATTGGCTTTGAGGGTTGTATAGGATATCTCTATATTGGATCTCAGGGTAGGGAGGGGAAGTAGGTCAAATAAAGGAATAATGGGAGTTAAGAGTTCCATCTGAATAAGCAATGAATGTATGCAGAGTGGCAGTGGAAGGGAGTCTACAGTGGGAATAGAAGACTGACTCTGTGTTGTTCAGAAACTTGAGCTATTAGATAATGCACTTGGGCTTACTCTGTTGAAGCCACTGAAGCCACTGAAGATATTGGTGTGGGGTCCTTGAAAGCAGAAACCTAGCCTTACCTTCTTGCTCTGCATCGGTGGACATCGAGAGGCTTTCTGAATGAATGAATGCCCCAGAGAAGTTGTTCACAGGAATTGGACTAGGTGGTCCCTGAATTTTGCCAGATCTGGGGTCCTGTGGTCCTGGGATAACCTCGCAGTCACCCATTAGACTTTAGGAGAGTGTTAGGAGGGGGCTTGGCAGCCTGCGAAGCAGATAATGTCTCTACATCCAAACAAGAGTGCTCTGGTCAGACAGCAGTCCTAGTTGCCTACACTATAAAGAGAGAAGCTACTTTTTTAAGGATCCGGAAGAAAAGAGGGCTTCTTTCACTACCATCCCACAGGCCACGAGGCATGTCAGGCGCATACTGTGCCATCCCCCTTAATGCCCTTGTATCTTGAGCTTATTAAGAGTTGCCAATCCAACCAGTAGTTTGCTGACAAGGTTCATGCGCTGTGACCATGACTGCAGTTGTTCTTGGGGAACGGCTTGCCGGTCCGCGTGGTGATGCTCTCACACGGTGTCCCCTGTGCCGCCCTGTAGTGTTGCGGCGGCTTTTTGACAGTCAGGTCAGTCCCTCTTTCTTCTTACCAGATGGGCTTTGGGCGTCGGGAAGGAAAGCTCAGGGTGGAATTGACCAAACGCGTATGAGTATGTAAGCATTCATTACCTTGTTAGTTCCTCTCTAAGGTTTCATTTCTGAAATCTTCCCAGAGGAGAGAGAAAGGGATGTGTAGGTGTGCAGGATGACCCCAGGGCCCTCACCGTGTACCTCAGAGAAGGACAGTGACTTGCCCAGGGTCATGCAGTGAGCTAGCCCCGAGGCCGGCGCCTTCTGTGGCAGGGTGTCATGGCGCTCTGCTGCTGAGGGACAGTGTCGTGTGCACAGGCGCTGGAGCCAAAGGCCTGCCCTTGGCTACTGGTTTAGCATCTTACTGTATTCTGCACCTATAGGTTTCTCATCGGTAAAATGGGTGTCATGGTCATATGTGGCATTAAGCATTCAAAAACGATGGGACATTAATTGTTGGGACCATCTTTAGAAAAAAGATGGGGCACTGAAGAAACTGCTGACTACACCCTAGTCACAGAACCCTCCCAAGGGGTCCACTTCCCCCCTGCATAGTAAAGAGATTTTGAGCTCAGATTTGGAGGAGCAGCACTAGGGGGAAGCATGGTCAGATCTTGGAGTTGTGAGGAAAGGAGGTACACTCTTGCTTGGAACCAGGACTCATGTAGCAACATAATGGGAGACGTGGCTGGCGAGATGGGTTGGAGCCCCTCCTGGAGCTCTGGAGGGCTGGCCTGAGGGCAGCTGCTCATGGTTTTACGTGCAGTTCAGAGCACTGGTGAGGATCAGCTGGTGATGAAATGGGGGGTAACCTGGCAGCACCTTCAGGATGTTCAGGGAACTTGGGGCAAAAGTCAGGCGAGAGACAGGAAATGTTGCAGTTGGAGCACAGGCCTCAAGATGCGGTGATTCCCAAGTTTTGGGCACTTTCTCGGTTATTTTTTGCAGTGAGTCACCTTTTCGCTTGAGGTTATAATAAAAATGATATTATTTGAAATCACTATAGAGCTGTGAAGTTTTCAAGAGTTTTCACACCCGTCAGCCCCTTGGTTCTGCTGAGCATCATGGGGCGGGTGGAAGGTGAGGTTCTTACCCCTGTTTCATGAATAAGGAAGTAGAGACGCAGAGAGCAGATGGGATTTCTCGGGCTACTCAGCTGGTCGATATGGAGGCTGGGAGGGGGGATGCCACATCTAATACTCTCTCCTGTGCCAATTATCGGGCTCTGTGGTTCTCTCAAAGTCACTTTCTCCAGCCTTGACTTTGTTGGTTGCCATCCTTGGGAGCCTGAGATGGCCTTGAATTTCAAAGGTCCCAGAGACAAGCTGTAAAATTTTTCAAAGATGAGCTCTAGGGAATTTGGGATACAACATGTGTTCCCTGCTCTGGCACTTTGTAGCTGCCAGGGTCTGTTCAGGTTGAAAATGTCCATGAAAACAAGGAAGGAAAGAAGTGGGCCCCTGCCACCTACTGTGCGTCTTCTGTGCTCTGGCCACAATGCTTTGTGCTTTTCTGTCTGTGGACTGAGATACATTTATAGATAAGGTGCTTGTAACACAGTGTTTACTGTAGCATTCTGCTAAGCAGCTTAATTTACATACATATTACATTAGTTAATTCTCATAAAAACCTAATTTGGTTGATAACAATGTTATTTCCCAGTTCACAGATGAGAAAAACTGAGGCTTAACGAGGCTGAAATAACTCATTTGTGAACACAGATCCTAAATAGAGTATAATCCAAGTTTCCTAGTTTGAGAATTCTTTATTCTCTGCTACACTACCTAGGGCCTGTCTCACTGGTAAGAATGCGGAACTGTTTATGAAGGAGCTATGTCTCAGACCTGGGAGGTTATGGGAGTTAGGGCCAGAAGGTACTAGGAAGAGTTCAGGCGGTTGGTGGTTTTCAAGCTGTGCTTCCCTGCGCCTGAGAGACTTCAGGAGTGGACTTGGTGTTGGGGTGGGTGATGGGTGGGGGAGCGGGAGGTGACAAATGGTGATAGAAGGAGGAAGAGGAAGTTCTGGAGTCCAGCCTCCAGAGCAGTTATGCTGTTATTTACTTTGCAAACTGAAAAGCTCTGTTGTTAGAGAAAGAAAAGTTTGAAATCCACTGTGCTAGCCTCGTTTGTCTTTTTACTAAGTCCGAGACACAAAGTGGCTTAGCAAAATCACCCTTGTGAGGGGTCTTGGAACTTTTCCTCTTTTTCAAGGAGATATGCTTTCTGTCCACCTCACTCTGAGGCCTCTGGAGCACCTGGCTGCAAGGTCAAAGGTCACGCAGCTTCTGAGGAACTTCCGTCAGAAGCTTCCGGCTGCCCCATGTACACAGTACTTGACCTGTGTCTTTCAACTTGGCTATGTCTCTGCTTTGGCTCTTGGGAGCTTCACTGAGATTAGTTCCCTGGCCCAACCTTTAAACACATTGTCTAACACATTGAATACCTGTGACTATTGAGTGTTCACTGTGTACACAGTGGCGAGAACATAGGCAAGGTTCCTGACGTCAAGGGACTGGTGAGGAGACAGAAACAAATAAAGACTTTTGTCAAGTATTTTTGGAGACAGTTATGTTTGTTATACATGATTATCATGTGTGATAGTTATGTGAGCATGATTTCATCTCGAAGAAATGGAATAGGGAGAGGCTAGGCAATGGGAAAGGTTAGATCTTGGAGGAGTAGTAAGGGGTTGCTTGCCCTGTGACTTTCCACTTAGCGTCTCTGGGATTGACACAGTTTACTTTCTCTTTAAGTCTTCCTTTCCTCCTCCGTGTAATGTGGGAATGAGATAGGCCAGCTCACCGGGTTGTTGATGGGATTCAATGGCATAATGTATGCAACCTGCTGCCAGTACAATGCTCAGCACAGAGTAAACACTCATTAAATTATAGTTGTTATTATTTGGCAGTGAGGAGCCAAAGAGACTATTTTTTAAACTGATCAATGGTGTGATTAGAGCTTTGCTTCTCAAAAAAGCACTCTGCTTTTAGAAATAGACTATAATCACTTTGGCCTGCAACAATTATGGTCTTTGGCTTCAGTTTACTTTTCTAAGTTATCTCTGTTTGTTTCCACCTGACTGTCCACCTCTCCCACTAGAGCTCACACACCTGTGTCACAAATTAATTTAGTGCTCTTCCCCCGCGTTCAGCACAAGGAAACCAATGATAAAATGCAAAGCAGAAAACAATCATCACTGAGCTGTGTGTTCATCTGCCTTGGGAATGGATTTCTGGGGAAAATCCAGCCCCTCTCTAATGACATTGATGACTTGGATCTTTGCAGAAATTGAAGAGAACCCTGATTACTATCGTGTTGGGAGAGGATTGAAGGAAGCCAGACCAGTTCCTCACTCTCAGAGCTTCTTAGGGGCCCTCTGGCTCCCAGGCAACCTGCAGCAGGACCTCTGGTATGTAAATGGGCCTCTTTGCTGCCTTAAGATTTGGTCCCAAATCTGAAAGAGTGGCTGGGAAGTTTTTAATGGATTGGAATTTCTATCTTTTTGCTCTCTGCAACTTGAAATATCCTGTGCCCTTGATAATTCATGCTTGGGAGCTTCCTTAGTGCTCTCTGGTAAATAGCTCCTTACTGTTTGCATATCTCCCCACAGGCATATTGCAGAGAGGCTGGAGCCTGTGTTTCTTAACAGCTTCTCCAAGGAAAACATTGCAGGTCACGTTTCCACAACTAAGACTCTCGGAGGTGGGGGGGGGGGGGGGGGTCTTCTAAATGTCTATCTCTGCTACCTCCTTTTGGCCTGGCATTTGCTTGTGGCTGACAAGGGAGAGTCTGTCTTGAGCATTCCTGTAGACATATGTGACTTTGCAGTTGAAAATTTGACAGCCACTGCTGACCTTCAGCTTTAAAAGTGAGTAGTATATAGAAATAACCCTGTAGAGTATCAGATTATTAGTCTTTAATTCCCAGAGCCTTCATGTTTCCTTGTCTTAAGAATGACCTCACCGCTCTTTGAATTTGTAATGGAATGCACAGTCATTTACAAGTAATCACACCATGATCCCCTACGCTTTTGTACTACCTTCCCCGTCTTTCAGAGGGCTTTCATTCACATCTCATTTGATCCTCATAACTGCTCTGAGAAGCAGACAGAGTGTCTCTTTTAATCTCTCATTTTCAGGTGTAGAAACCAAGGTTTGGAAAGTTAAACAGTTGTTTAGAGGTCATACAGCTTAGCAGAACTGCACCTGGAATCTCAAGCAGCCTAACTTTCTAAACCAGTGTTCTTTTTACTACTTACCCTTGCTGTGACCTCGGGAGTATACTTAACCTCTCTGAGCCACAGTATTCCTATCACTAAATTAGGTGCAAGGCTACCTCCAGCAGTAATTGCCAGAGGGATTAAGTGAGACTACCTGGGAAAGCATTTACTAAGCAGTAAAGTATGCTTTTAATGGGAGGCATCATTGCTACTTGTACCTTAAATCCAAATAGTGCCATCAGAACTGTGGCAGAGAAGAACATTTCCTCCCTTTTTGTAAAGACACCAAGGTCTAAAATGATGCTGGAGTTGTCAGGGATCATGAGCTCCCAGCCGCCCGGTCAACGGAGCGGCTCTGCTGCCCTGCCGGCAGGCCGCTGACAGCGCTTGTGTTGGGAAGGCTCTCGTGTTCTACAGAGCTCCCTCTCTTCGTGCGCCTTGGAACAGTCTTGCACCTTGGAGACAGCTTTAGGTCTGACAGGACCAGAGAGCAGGAGTGGGGAGCTGGGAGTGGGATGTGCGTTCCTGAGCTTTGTCCACAGAAGGTGGGGATGCGGTATGGTGATGAGGTAGAGGTAGGTGACAAACTGGTCCAGAAGGCCTAACTTCTCCCATTTCTCAGTGATTGGGATTTAACAGGATACATCTTGTGAATCCATAAGGCCAGCAGTATATATGTGGAACAGGATGCTTTACAGTAACACTTATTGGAAAACTCAGAAAGGATGTATTTCAAGTTGGCAACAAATGCATTAGGAGCAAGCAGTGGGATATGGTCGGGAAACAGCCAGAGCAACCGAGGGATGAGATCTTAGGTAGCTTCATAGGAAGCCGGATTTCCTTCCATATAAGGAAGAACTTTCTGTTGCAAAGATGGAACTTGCAGCTTCAGGAGATGATCTTCACCTCTCTGGAGATCTCAGGGCTACCATGTAGGGATTCACTGACGGGTACGGGGAGGGCGGTGCAGGGGCATCGGCTCAGTTTTTCTCCTGTTGATCCAGTGGTCAAGAGGAAGAGAAGTACACATACGTTAGGGAATGAAGAGCCCCTTTGTGGATGTGGAAGCTGATCTCTAAGTGCTACTTGCAAAGTAGAGGATGAAAACTGTGATTCTGCTTTTTGTAACTACCCCTGTAGCTCTTGCCTTGGTCCTTGGTTTTCAGAATTCCCAGGCCATCCATGCGCAGCTCTTTCTCATGGAATATGTCTTTCATCTGCTAAAATGTACCTGTGGCAATATTAGAATGGACTTGGATCTCCTGAGAAGATGACAGCCTTTCTATAGAACCACTAAGTCTGACGGCTGGTCTAGTCTTCTGCGTTACGCGTGAGGACCATCCCTTGCCCCTCTGCAGGCCTGCCTCTGGGAGCCCCTGGGATACTGCAGCGCTGAGACTTCTGTACTGAGCTCTGGTTCTGGCAGGTAGGGGTAGGTTCTCTGATCCTGTTTCCGTATCTTATTTAATAGTCACTTATATTTATGTTCATGGATGAAGCAAGTAATAAATAAGAAATGTTGGTAATTTGGGGGATACTTGTAGCATGCTTGCAAAAACGAGTAATCAAAATAAATGTGTCATGACTATTTGTCTAGACCAAGTAGAGGCTGCTTTTAGAGCACATAGTTGGACAATCTTGGGTTAGCTACCCAATTTGTAGGTGAGGCAGTATAAGCTAGAAGAGGAGAACTGATTTGTCCCAGATTTTAAGGAGCGATTGATCTGGGCTTAGGGCTTGGGTCCCCATACTCCCTGACCAGTGCTCTTTATTGCTAGAAGATTCCCTGAGAATCTTCTAGGGGATGAGAACAAGCATCCTCATGGTGCAGACCCCAAAGCCAGGAAGTGGGTGATAATTCTAGAACGGCTTGTCTGACCTACAAAAGTCTTTGTAGCCAAGAGTAGAACAAGATCACACTAAGAAACAGAACCACTGGGAAGCCAAAATATGGCTTCCCTTCTCTGACCCAGCCCCTCTCTTCCCATACCACCATCTCCCTCAGCATTTCATCTCTCTCTTCTTTCTCTTTCTCTTAATTAGTCTGGAGTTATTTTAGACCAGATTCATTCCTGACTGACTTCACTCGTCCAATTTAGTCACTGAGCACTACTCAGGAACTTAAGATTGAAATTAATCTTACAAATTAAATTGGGCATTCCACCCTTTTACTCCCTCCACCCTCACCCCCCACCCAGGGTTCTCTGGAGAGTCTGGTTTTATTCTGGGTCTTCCTGCTTGGTGTCTGTCCTATGAAGAACTCACGCAAAACTAAGTTTTTCGGAGGAATCTCTGCCTAAGGGAGCCAATTGTTTTAGGACTCATCTATCATTAAAAGAAATGCAGACTGGATTCTCGGTGACCTCTTCAGGTGAACCCCTCCCCCCGCAATACCTCCCCTTACCCTGAATTAATAGATTGACTTCATAAATGGAGTTGCATTCTAGATGACCCCATTCCTAAGGTGAACTTTCATCAGACTTTCAAACCAGTCCCTTGTTTGGGCGGGGGAGCATGTGGAACAGTCCAGACTCCACTTCTTTTGGGGTTAATCATTTACTCCCAGTAAGGAATTCTGTCTTAAGTGGGGCATGTTCTTCAAGTGCCAGAGGACAGACGGGTGATTTTTCTGACATCCTCTAGCCTGCTTCCCCATATATGGAAATGTTTACCCACCACACTGATCTATTGGAAGAGAGGGAGGTGACTCAGGGTTTAGGAGAAGCAGGATTTGAATTCTTGTTTCCAGAAACAAAGTCATACCCCTCCCCCCCTCCGCTTGCATCCCTCCCCTCCATTCCTTTGCCCCTTGTTCTGGAAGCTGAGGAGAGAATGTCTCAGTGCTGTTCCCCTCTGGCCTTGGGATCACCTCCTTGCAGTGGGACTCGGGGTGTATGAGAGGGAGTGAGAGCCAGCGGAGGGCCAGCTGCCTGTGGGGCCTGACGTCGCGTAAGTACCTCATTATTGCCAGAGCGAATGGCATTTCGGCTTCCAGACCCTGAGTTTTCAGCCCTGACAGCTGGCTAGCTTGCTGGTGATGGGGCTTGTTGCTGGGAGCACTGGTGCTTTAATTTGGGGTGTGGACAGCTGCTTTCCCAGGGGACTACTCCTCACAGTGGGATTTAGAGCCAGGCTCTGCCTGAGGAAACATTCTATTTGTGTATAGAAAAGTTAGAGAGATATTTTCCCCACCTGAGGCCTAACTTGGACTGGGTGGAAAGATAATTTGGGAGTGTTGTCTGTCTGATTGCTAGGGCTAAAGCAGCAAGACAGAAGGGATGTTTGGGGTTGCTTGGGCAGGGATAGTTTTAGCTTGAAAGATAGAGCTATGGTTGGACTTAAGAGTATGCAGAATGTTGCTATATAGCATTTGCACACCATTCACAGTTTGGAAAGACACCAGGTATACAGGACATCTGTGTTTTTTTGATGGACTGTCAGATGTAGGGGGACACTTAGAGATCATTCAGTTGACCTGTCTCATTTTACAGGATGACAGTGGGCAGTGGAGGCCCAGAGAGCCCAGCTAACTCGCTTTGCAGGTACCTGGCTAGTTAGGTGGGATTAGAACACAGATTTTCTCACTCTGTGTTCATTCTTCCTTCCGCTACACAAAAGCTGTTCCTTCAGGCAAAGGCAGAAAACATGCACCTTTTGCAGGTGAGGAAACTGGGACTCAGAGATGCCAGAGTTGTCCACATTTACTGATCTAATTGGTGAGAAATTGAGAACCAGAACCACATCCTCCCAGTTCAGACCTCTTTCAGTCATGTTATATGGGCTTAGATGCCTGAAATTGTTTTTGAAAATTTTACTTTTTCCCCCTTCTTTGGGTTTCTACTTATCTTTTCCTGTTTTTGATCATGTGAATGTTGTCTGAATGTGAGCTGCTACGTTCTGATCTGCTTTGCTGCATGCATCTTTTCCTTTTTTGAAAGGGGACGATAGCTGGTCTAAAAGGCGGGACTGAATAGTGGAGCCCTTTATTTCCATTTTATCCGTGGCAGTGGAAACTGTGAACGGGCCTTGAAAGAAATTGAGCAGGGCCTTCCCATCTAGGCCTCTGCCGCCTTTCTTGAAGCTGCAAGAATTCTGGAGTAGTTTCCCCTCCCATTCAAAGGTGAGCTCTGATTCTGAGTAGATTTTAAACACACACACATACACACACGCACACACACTTCATTTTTAGC